TGATGGACATACTCGGCCCCCTCACCGCAGCCTGCAAAGTCCCAGTGAGCTGGCCCCCACGGCCTCCCAGCCACATCGACTTGCCTCACCAGCCTTCTTTCCGTAGGGGTCAGGAGCACGTTCCGGCCCACAGGCCCTGCGTTTGCAGCCTCTCCCGGGAACGCTGGAAGGCGGGCTCCTTCCCATCATCGGGCCTCAGCTCAAACATCACCTCCTGAGGGCTCCCCTGACCACTCCATTCAAACCAATCACCTCTCCCCTCTCCAAGGGCTCCTCTCTACTGATGCTATCCGATACAGCAGCCAATAACCGCATGGGACTAGCCCACAAGGAACGGATTAATCAATCACTCCATTAAAATAATATGTAAAATTTAGTTACTTGGTCACGTTAGCCACATTTCAAGGGCTCAACAGCCATGTGCTAGCTACTTACCTTGGGTGGCCCAGATAGAGAATATTCCTGTCATTACACAAGTTCTCCTGGCTGCACTGCTCTGTCAACCGAGCACGAGGCTCCATTTTATCATCTTCCTAGTATTCCCCACGATCCGAAACCTTATTCATTTTCTTATTTGTGGTTGCCCTTCCCCTCCAAGAACAGAAGTTGAGGATGAGGAGTGTCATTCTCTTTTTTACTATTGTACCCCCTGTGCCTGGTACAGTACCTGACATACCTCCCAAGTAGACATTCAAGAACCACTCACTGGGAAGGCATTTCTGAACATCTGCCAAGACTAGGAATAGCCTCTCTCTGTCCGGGGACAGAGGCCACCCTGAGATTTTTCTCGTTCGTCTGGGAGAAACCAGGCCTAGACTATTGTCTTCCTACCGTAGCGATGGCATTGCTACCTTTACCTGCCAACTCCCTCCGTTCTTCCCTGCCCCCAGCTCAGCTGTTGGGAGGCACTGTCCCACCCTGCACCCCTGGGAGGTGAGAAACTCAGGCGAATGATGGAAGTTATATTTGCCACTTTGGGAGAATCAACTTGGAGCTGGGAAAGGCAGAGCGGGGGGCGGGGGGGTGGGCAGTGGAAGTGCCCAGAGCAGGAGGTAAAACAAAAAGAAACAGTGGCTTGTGGACCTTGTGATGGGAAACTCAAAAGTTGGAAAGTTTGCCCTGGCTGGTGTGGCTCAGTGGATTGAGCGCCAGCCTGCAAACCAAAGGGTCACTGGTTCGATTCCCAGTATGGGGCACATGCCTGGGTTGCAGGCCAGGTCCCCAGCAAGGGGCCCAAGAGATGCAACCACAAATTGATGTTTCTCCCTCTCTCTTTTTCCCTCCATTCCCCTCTCTAAAAATAAATAAATAAAATCTTAAAAAAAAGAGTTGGGAAATTTTAGTTTAAGGTAATAGTTAAGAAGCCTAGTAGCTAACACGTGTGAAAAGCTATTGTTTCAGGAACTACAGGTACGTCCCTTCCCCACCCCACCCCACCCCATCCCCCACTCCAGCAGACCACAAGCAATTGACCTTTGTGCTCCACAGGAGACCATAAGCAATCAAGGTGGTGTCGGAGCCACTGTGTGTCAGGGGGGACAGGCAGCTGCCCAGGGCACAGATGAAGAAAATCGCCCAGGACACAGGACACAGGACACAGATATAGAAAATCACCAGCCAGCAGATGAAAGGATGTTAGGGAAATTGCCAGACTGCAGGTTTTATCTGATTAACCTCTTTCCTGAGTCCCAAATCCCTTACCTACACTTTTTTTCCCCTTGAATTCCAAACCCCTTACCTACACTTTTGCCCCCTTTATTAAAAACAAGGCTGTCTTGAAAGGATATGTAAAACAGTCTGTTAGGATACAAACCCGCCGTCTTCTCAGGTCGTCGGCCATCTGAATAAAGTGCCCGTAAAGATTCAATCCCTGTCTCTGCTTATTGGGTTCGGTAGGTGACAGGCAGCCTGAACTCCGGCTTTTCCGGCTTCACTTGGGGTTTTTAATGTACTTGAGCTACCCCTGAACAAAGAACCGCCACTCTGTCCCTCATCTCTTCCATACTTTGTGCCTTGCTTTTGTCTGCCCCTTAAGTTTCCTAGTCACAGTCTCTTTGAAAAAGTCCAAATTTGTCTCTGATGAACTGAAGGATAGGCGTGTAAAAGGGGCATCCTTGGGATCAGGGACACCTGGGTTTGACTCCTCGCTTGGAAGCCACAGGAATCTGTGGCCACGGACAACTGGCCACATTGAAACTTGGTTTTCCCTTCCATAGGCAGAGGGTTTAAACGAGAGAGCGCAGGTGCGAGGCACAGCATGGCCCCTGGCACGCTGCAGGGGTTCTATAAATGATGGTTTGCGTCTCTCCCTTTTCCACTACTTTGCATCCAAAGAACAGAAGGGTCGATGACCCTTGGAGGCAGCAGCTGTGCCAGCTGGAGAAATTGACAAAGACTGTGAGCTAGAATAGAAGGAAAGAAAGGCCAAAAATCAGGGGAAAACAGAGAGCCAGGGAACATGGAGAAAGCTGAAATTCAGAAAGGGAGCCAGGGCGACTGGCTAAGGTCGCAGGCCCCTCCCTCAGTTTTCCCATCGGGGTGTGACTAGTGCTTGTTACCCGGTAGAAGAAACAGCTCCATCAATGATATCTCTGCCAGATGCTGTGAAAGATACCAGCCTACCAAATATTCATATCTCCAGGGAACCAAGAGGGCCGAGGGCCGCTTTCCGTCCAGGAGACCTGGGCTCAAGAATCCCCCAAAATATAAGTGCTCTGTGCCCAGTGTTATCAGTTTCTGGCCACCAGGAGGTCCAGGCCCAGCGTCTGCTAAGGCTCTGTGCTCTCTCTTGATCTAAGCTTTCTTGGCCACCGTTCCCCCTACCCCCTGCCCTGGCCTGTTACTGGGGTTAATGGCTATTTGTTTTCCTGAACTGAGTCCTTTGTAAGCCTGCACTCCTTTGAAGTAGGAGGGGTGTAAACAAAGAAGCAGAATCTAGCTACCCCATGTGTGTGGGACATTCTTTCCTATCCAAAAGGCAAAAGGGGGTAAGAGGAAAGGGAAAGGAGAGAGGGGATTGGAGACAGGAAAGGAAACCAGCACCTGTCAGTATGACACACCGGGTAAGCAGCAGGGCTGGTCTGCAAACCCAGGAGTGCGAGCTCAGTATCTGTGGAACAGAAGGAGCGTCTAGCCTGGGGTGAAGGGGTCTGCCAGAGTGGCGGGGGCGGGGTCTGAACAGGAAGAGGGCCTTACAAAGAAGGGCAGGCCTGGCTCCTTAGTCCCAGTGACAGATGCCAAGTGCCTAATTTGGGACTCAACTCCAAATCAGAGGTTCAGGCGCCACCCAGTGGCTATTGCGGAGATTACAGGATAAAAGAGGATTTAAAAAAAAAGCAAAACAGAGAAGGCAGTCCTGGCCAGCGCCGAAGGAGGGAGCCGAAGGAGGGAGCGTTGCCTTTGCTCTCCCAGCCACGCCATCAGTTGACATCCTCAGTCCAGTCAGACCCCCTAGGCTTCTGCCTGATCCAGATGGGTTTCTCTCACTGTGTGACCTTGGGCAGGCAACTCTGCCCTGTAGGCCTGGTTCCCCAACTGTAAAATAAAGGGATTGGGCAGATGACACCATACACCAGGCACTGTGCTGAGCACCTTAGCCCATCTAAGCCTCAAATCCAGGTACATCTCAGTCATCCCATCCCCATATACTCCAGTCACTCCTAACCACACACATTCCCACATCACTCACCTGTAAAACCCGCCAGGGCCGCCTGCGGAAATCCCAGCCACAGGTTAAGGCTTGGCTGGAAGGTCTGTAAAATGGGAATGAGAAAGGCGGCGAATCCTACCTCACAAGGTTGCTGTAAAGGTAAAGTGAAAATACCTGCAAAGCACTTAGGATAATGCTCAAGACTAAATATGTTAGCTATTATTATAGGAAAAATTAATAACTACCACTAACTGAGAGGCTTGGATGTGCCAGGCACAATGTCAGATGCCTTATAATATTTCCCTCAATTCTCACCATCACCCTTGAGAGTAACAAGTTCAGTCTCCACTGCACAGATATGGAAACAAACCCAGAGTAATTTGCCCTCAGTCACCCTGGACTGGAAGCATTTTTAATCTTTGCATTTTCTTACATGCTCTTGGGAGATAGTACTGCTCTGTGTTCATTACCATAGAGGGCTGGTTTTAGGGGGTTTTGTTTGGGGAAGCGGAGGCAGAGAGTGTGGGTCACAGGCTGGGCAGGCGGATGCCTGCTCTGTGCCAGAGGTCCTGCTGGTACCTTCTCTTCTTCCTACGTCGTCCAGGAGGGAGATAAAAGCCAAGCGAACCTCACCTATCCGGCCCTCACTCAGTCTATTAGGGGCTCAATTACTGCCTCCCACTTCCTCACCAACTTCCCCTGCCCATTTCTAGCAGGTTTTCAGCCAAGTTTGGGGGCACTAGGAGACAGGTATGGCCGGAGAGAGAAACGTTCGATCTTCCGGTGGATGGAGGGATGCAGGCTTGCGCAGACCCCAAGGGTTCCCGTGAAGCCCCCTCCCTTCCCGCAGCTTGCAGAAGGAGTCGTCTGTTGTAGGCTGAATAAACAAGGAGGGGGAAGCAGTGCCCGGTCCCCTGCCCCCCAGGCCGACCCCCGCACAATGCGCCTTTCTCCGGCGGAGAGCGGAGACGCCGCTCGGGCGCCGCCGGAGCGCGCTCCGTCTGGCCTCCCCTCCCCCTGGCGGCACAGCAAGACCCACAAACCGACCCCATGGAAACCAGATTTTTTTTTTTTTAAAGAAAAAGAAAACAAAAAAGAAATCCAACAAAGGACTGAGCGCAGCAGCACGCGACGAAGGCATGCGGATCTAGCACACGCCCCCCTGTCCCCCACAGTCGGGCTTGTGGTCCAGGAGAGGCCAACTCGAGCACAGTGCTGGGAGCCCGCCAGTCCCTTGTCTCCAGCAGCCCGAGCCCCAGGGGCTCCGGCTTACGCGGCCCCGGCGCCCCGACGGCGCATGAAGACGCAGTCCTGCGGGCCGCCCCTCCTCGGGTCCCGGCCACGGCGGCCCTCACATATGCGTGGCTAGCTGGTTCTCCAGATCCTCCAGGCGCGCCGTCAGCTGGGCGAGTGAGCGGTTAAGGAAGTCGTTGGGGATCGCAGGGGTCCTGTCCCCTTCATTCCAGCCAGCGCCCCCATCCCCAAAGGATATGGTTTTGGGTCAGACTCTCGAGCGCCCCCAGCGTGCGGCCCTGGAACTCCACGAGGCTTTCGCATTCACAAGGACTCCGAAGCTCTGTCCCGGCGCTGATGCCCTCCTCTGCCAGCCAGGCACAGAGAGTTGGGGGAATAAGAATCTGCAGGAGGACCAGCCGGCCCTGGCCGAGGCCCTCTGATATACCTCCCCCCAGCCTGTGTTTGGGTGCATGGGCTTTGGGTTCAAAAAGACCTGGGAAGAGTCCCAGCTACATAGCTGTGAGCTCCTGGAAACCTCACCCAACCTTTCTGAGCCTCAGACTCCTCATTTGTAAAAGTGGATACAATGAGAAAACCTATCCATTGGCTCGCGGTGACGATTCTATGATCTGTGTGTGCGCACGTCTCAGAAGAGTGTTTCTCGAAGTTTCAAGTTCAGAATCACCAGGAGATCTTGGTAAAATATAGGTTATTATTCAGAATGGGGAAGGACCTGGGTGCTCCCAAGCGCTGCTGATGCTGCTGGCCCCTGGGCCACGCTCTGAGGAGCAAGAGTTCACAGCAGCACTCTCCAAATAACACTTTATGCCATGATCAAATGTTCCATGTCTGTCCTGTCCAGTGTGGCAGCCGCAAGCCACATGTGGCTATTTAATCCCTGAAATGTGGCTAGTGTGACTGAAGAACTAAAACGTTGAACTTAATTTAATTTAAATGAAATGGGCACATAAAGCTGGTGGCTGCCGTACTGGGCAGCATGGATGTAGGACACTGCCTGGCACAGTAGGTACCGGATAGTGTATTTCAACTAGACCAGTGGTTCCCGGAATGTGGTCCCTGGACCGGAAGCATCAGCATCTGGGAGGCTATTAAAAATGCAAGGATCAGACTCCACCCCAGACCTACTGAATCAGAAACACTGGGGTTGAAGCCCAGCCATCTGGATTTCAACCACCCCTCCTGCAGGCTGTGTTTTAACTTCTAGGTGGGTCTGACGCATACTAAGGTTTAAGAACCACTGATTCAAGTCTCTCTCCAACACATTTGAACATCTTGAAAATCAAAACAAGTGCCTTACAATTAAGTTTGGCACCAGTTTTTTCCTTAGCTGTATAAAAAGTAGTGGTGAATTTGACAATGGATGGTATGTTAGATTCACTGATATTCTGTAAACATGTACCATTTTTCATACGACAGCACAATGCCTGGGCCTTCAATTAATAATTACTGTTATGCCCTGGCTGGTGTGGTTCAGTGGATTGAGCACTGGCCTGCGAACTGAAAAGTTGCTGGTTCAATTCCCAGTCAGGGCAGGTGCCTCGGTTACAGATTCAGTCCCCAGGAAACTGATTGATGTATCTCTCGCACTTTGAGGTTTCCCTTTCTTTCTCCCTCCCTTCCCCTTCTCTAAAAGTAAATAAATAAAATATTTTTTAAAATAATTACTGTTCTGTACCCTCAGCAAACTGCTGTATGTCATGTCATTAATGGCATTGATGACCGTCCTGAAAAGATTCTTAACTTTGCAGGTGGGGAAACCAAGGGCCAGAGAGGGGGGAGGGTCTGCCCAAGGTCATACAGCCAATTAGTGCAGAGCCTTGATCACAGAGCCCAGGTTTCTCTTAGAATTCTAGAGCTGGAGGCAACCTTGGGGAGCCAGCACCCTCCCCTGTTCCAGAAGAAGGAAGCCGAGGTACAGATGGCATTAAGTGACTCGTCCAAAGTCCCACTGTGAGGGACATAAGAGCCAGGACAGAAAGGGCCCTAAAGGAGCAGCTGATCCAGTGCCTTTACAATATGCTGGCTAGTTACTAGAATTAGCCTGGGGGGTGGTGTATGTGTACATGTGTGTATATATGTATATACATACACACATATATCTATGTGTGTACAGCTGACCCCTGAACAAAGTGGGGGTTAGGAGCCCTGACCCACTGCATAGTTAAAACTCTGTGTATAATTTAAGTCATCCCTCTGCATATGTGGATTCCCGACTGAGGATGGAAAATACAGTTGGCCCATGAACAACAACATGGATTTGACCTAGGCAAGTCCACTTAGAGGCATATTTTGTTATCCACATGTAAGTGTACCTATGCAGTTCAAGGGTTGTTCAAGGGTCAACTGCACATGTGTATGAGTGTGCGTGTATAAGATTCCCCAGGCCCGGCCCAGCCCTACTGAACCCAGCTCTGGAGGTAGAGCCTGGTAACCTGAAAGAAGAGCCCACATCTTAGTATAGATTCTATGGCAAAAATTACCACCAAAAATTCCTTATAAGGCCTGTAGAGCACAGTACGCCAGGTCTGACGGCCCTCCTCTCCATGAATAACACTAGCCCGCCCCCCTTTTTTTTTTCTAGCTGAACACCAGATAAAGTAGATGGTTTGCATTCATGGGCTATCCTGTTCAAAAGAAAACACATAGCTTTGTGTACTTGAAACGAACTTAGTCCTGCCACTTAGCCAGGTCTGTAAAATTGAATTCCAACAAGTTAATAAAATCTTTGATGTGACTCCACTTAGAAATGCTGAGTTTGGCATTCCTTTAAAAAAGTTCCCCCAAATTATTCTGAATATCCACTAATTTGGGGGACAGGTCGCTTAGCTTAAACTTTAAGATGCATATGAACACCCTGCGGGTCTTGTTGAAGTGCAAAATCTGATTCAGTAGGACTGGCGAGAGCTGGAATGCGGCCATTCTAACAAGCTACCAAGTGACGCTCCACTGCTGGCGCGTGGACCACACTTTGAGTAACAAGGCTCTGTCTAGTGAGTCCACGCCCGGCTGTAACTCTCTGAAAGGGGTGGGGAGCGGACAGTAAGGGGAGGTATCAGAGGCTGGGCAGCGAGAGAACGGGACGGCCCCCCGAGGCAGCTGCGCTCAGCTCACCGGGGCAGATGCTGCCTTTGAGGTTCTCCAGCAGGTGCGTCATGGTGCTGAAGTCAGGGGAGTAGGACACGTGCAGCTCCGCGGGCTCTGAGGCGATCTCACGCAGCTCCTCCTCCACGGCCTTGCCCACGCCCACGGCGTACATGACGATGCCTACAGGGGAGACAGGGGGTGTCCTAGACCTCAGGAAAGCCACCTCAGCGCGTCCACCCCAACCCCAGGCCAGCGCGTCCGCACCAAGCCCACCTTCCTCCTTAGCGCGCGCCGCCCACACTGAGATGTCATCCTGGGAGCGGCCGTCGGTGAAGACCAGGCCCACGCGGGGCACGTTGAGGACGCGGGGCCGCGCGCCCTGCGCTTCAGAGAAGCTGTGTTCCACCATGTGGCGCAGCGCCAGCCCGGTCATGGTCCCGCGCTCCATGTACTCCACAGCCAGGACCGCCTGCTTCACCTCGGCCGCCGTGCCATAGCGGCCCAGCGGGAACTCAGTGCGGACCCGGCTCGAGAACTGCACCAGCCCCACGCGCGTGCCTTCGGGGGACACGTCCAGGAAGTCCACGATCTGGTTCACAAAGCGCTTCACCAGCTCGAAGTTCTGCGGGCGCACGCTCTTGGAGCCGTCGACCAGCAGAACCAGGTCCACGTGGCCTTCCCGACACCCTGCACAGTGAGGAGGAGGTCTCGGGTGGAGAAACCAGTACGCTGGCCAGCAACAGCTGTCTCCCCATCTGGCCATTCAGTCACAAGCACTTATTATATAACAAGTACCAGTGCGAAGGCCTCCGTGAGCCAGGCACTGGCATGATGTGTTATTATCAGCACACCATTTTAACCGTTGCCATTTGTTGAGTACTGAGCACAAGCCAGACAACCTGCTAAAAGCACCTTTTTAGTAAAATAATAATTATAATAATACCCACAACCACAATAGTTACCATTTATTGATCATCTACTACTAATGGATCAGGATTCTAAACACTTTACCAGTATTAACAATACTAAACAAAAACATTATTATTTGACAGTTTCCCATGTACTGGACACTGGGGTAGGTGCTTTATATATATTTTTCTCAACCCTTCCAAGAACCTTGGGGGTTATCCCCATTTTCTATAACCTCAAGTTTTCTGAAGGATAAAATGCTTGGATGTGGATTCCATAGCTAGTGATGATTGAGCCAGGATTTGAAACCAGGTCTTGCTCACTCCCAAACCCACGCTTCTAATCACTCTGCAATGCGGACTCTCATGTTGTGAGCCAGGGACTTTGCTGGTCCTAAAGAAGGTTCAGCAATAAGTGCAGCATAATCCTGATCCATAAGGAAGCCCGGACAGAGCAGAGCAGTCAGACGTGCCATATGTTACAGTGAGGAAAAATGCTAGAATGAGGGGAATGTGGAGAGCCCAGGGCAAGAACAACTCATTTTTCCTGGAGTAGGTGAGGAAGGCTGCATGGAGGTGGTGACATTTGACTTGGTCTTCAAGGATGGGTAGGAGTTCTCCAAGGCAGGAAGGGACACTCTAGATGGTGGGAACAGAATGTGCACAGGCATGGAAGCTGAGAGCTTGTGACACGTTTGGGAACGGGTGGGGCAGTATTGCTAAAATGTTCAAGTGTGGCAGGAGCCAGGTCTACGGGGTTGGCTGAAGCTAGACTGTAATGAGCCAAGGCAGTGGTTTCAAAAATCTGACCACAACCCACAGTAAATAATAATAATAATAAATAATAATAATACATCACGATATACTACATATAATTAAATTTCATGAAGCAATGCTTACTCTCTCTCCATGCCATAAACTCTTTTTCTCTCTGTTCCTCTTTTTAAGATTTTATTTATTTATTTTAAGAGAGAAGAGAAGGGAGGGAGAAAGAGAGGGAGAGAAACATCGATGTGAGAGAGAAGCAGCGATCGGTGGTCTCTTGTACGTGTCCTGACCAGGGACCAAACCCACAACTAGGGCATGTGCCCTGACCAGAAATCGAACCCGCAACCTTTCACTTCTCAGGTCCAACACCCACCCAACTGAGTCACACTGGGCAGGGCTCTCTCTTTCTTTTTAATGCTAACTGTAATCCCCGAATTTGATTTCATTATCCACTAATGTGGTTGCACCCACCATTTGAAAAACTCAGGAATAAGGGATTTGTTCTTTATTCAGTAGGCACTGGTGAGCCACAGATGGCTTTCAATCAAGGGAGGAATGTGGTCAAATCTGTATTTTAAAAATTAACTTTGGCACCTGGGAAGAGAATCGAGGCAGGGCATGGCACACTCTCCTACCCCAGCACCACCAGCCACGCCCACACACCACATCCACACCACACTCACTCCAGAGTCAAGGAGATCAGAACGTGAGCAGTGAGGCAGGGACACAGGATCCCCTCCCACCCATAACTCACGGCTGCAGCTCTTGCCATCTGCCTGGAGTTGCCGCCCATCCGGGCACAGGCAGTGGTAGGTGAGGCCCTCGCTCACGCACTGGAACTCGCATCCATGGTCTACGCCATTGCAAAGGTCCCGGGCTTAAAGGAGAGATAGGTCGGGATAAGCCAGGGTGGACCCCACCAGCTAAGACGCCCCCTGCCCCTCTGCGCAACACAGGAGGCCCCTCCGCACCCTGACAGCTCCTGCCGTCAGGCAGCAGGTCGTGGCCCTCTCGGCAGCGGCACCGTGGCCCATCAGGGGTGCTAATGCACTCGTGCTGGCAGCTGTGGTTCCCGAAGCGGCAGTGGTCGATGGCTGGTGGGACGGAGGAGGCAGCAAGATGTCACTTCTGATTGGAGCCATCAGAGACTTCAGTCTAGGGTGCTGGAGGGGAGCCTAGGGAGCTACTGTAAGGGGCTCGCTCGCCCCTACAGCTCTTCTGGCCCTGCTGGAGTACAAAGCCAGCTCGGCAGTGACAGAAATAGGAACCTGGGGAGCTGACACAGTGGTGTTCACAGCCATGAGTGCCTTCAGTGCACAGGTCAATGGCCGAGGAAGCGTGGGTGGGAGGCTGGCATATACCTGGGGGCTTTGCTTCTCAGCCCTGACAGCAGAGCTTTTAAAAAATACCTAAGCCTGGCCCCCAATTCCCAAATATCCAGATTTCATTAGTCTGGGGTGGTAGCCAGGCATCTGGGATTTCTATTTGCATAGGCTTCCTTCTTCTGGGCCAGGGGCCTCCCAGCTCAAGCCCCAGACGTACCTCAGGGTGTCCCTTCCTAAGCCAGGCACCCACAGAATGCAGGGTCCCTGCCCTGAAGATGCTCACTGACTAACAGAGGACCAGACTCTGCTGCTTCACCCGCCTGAGCCTCCATTTCCCCTTCTGCAAAATGAGAATGGAAATGGAAGGGAGCAGTTGCTATTCACGACTTCCTTCTGAGGAGGGTGAGCTGGTTTAGATGTGCAAAGACGGCCTAGAGCTGCACTGGGGAGTGGGGGCTGGAGAGAGGCGGATTAGCCTGCACCCAAAAAAAAAAAAAGTGAGAGTTTGGGGTTTCTAGAAATGAGGTGGGAGTGGAGAAAGGAAGAAAAAGAACAGACAGATGGTGTGAAGATGAGTGACTGTGTGGGTTGAAGATGCCAGTAAACAGCCCCTTGTGGTGGGGCGACCGAGGGCTTTCGAGATCAAGGGTGCCGAATATTCAATTATAAAAACTGGATGTTTCCTTTTTTTGTGTGTATGTTTGACTTTATTTAGATGTAATTCACACCTCTGTTCACCCCCTCTTTAGTAAAATGGACATATGAATGCACTGACATATACATGCACATGTCCTTGTGTGCACACGTGTGTAATCCAAGGAAGGGGCTGATTTACATGCTGGAACAAGGACAGCATGCGTGAGGCTGAGAAATTGAGGGAGGAGCCATACATTGATTGAATTCAGCAGGAGCTCAGTGTGAGAGGAGACCACAGAAAGTAAGCACCTGGGGAATCCCCAGAGATCTTGGGGACAGATTGGGATGTTCATGGGTCATCACATGGGGCGTCAAGCCAGTTTTGTTCTAGAAACAAGAAGACCCCAGATGACATCTGGGTTATGGGAATCACATGACCTCATTTTCCAGGTGTTGTGAGCTTGGGAGATGATGTATACAATGCTCCAAGCACAAGATCTGATATTGACTTGGCACTCAGTAAATGGGAGCTGCCATTAAGATCAAAGGCGTGGACACACATATACATGAAAAAGAAAGTCCCGGTTGTATAAGCAAGGCATTGTGTGCCATAGCCTTTCAGAAGGCACAAATGAAGAATTCGACCTCGAAGGACGTGCAGGTGCGGAGAGAAGCAGCAAGAGAGCTCAGGTGAGCAGCCCAGAACGAGCTGAGATGCAGAAGCAGGAACGACAGCATGGCAGGGGTGACAGTGGCCAGAGGCCCTAACTGAAGACCCCAACAGTGTCTAAGTCACAGAAACTGTGAAGATGTGCCTGTGAGAACACACAAACCCGTTTGGGAGGCCTTTTGGAGCCCGTAGGAGACGAGCCTGAGAGGGTGCACAGAGGGTGCAGAAAGCCCTTAGCCGTGGGGTAAAGGTTTCTAGCCCTGGTCCCCCCAAGGGCTTGTGTGACTCCAGGCATACCTTTCCTTTCTTAGGCCTGTAAAGCAAGGGAGCTCGACTTTACTTCCAAAGGCCCTTCCAGACCCATTGGCCTGACCCTGGGGCAATGGGGAGCCACAGAAGGCTCAGGGGTAGTGGGATTGCAGGGCAGGAGTCGTTCTCACCCAAGCAGCTCTTGTTATCTGCTGCTAGCTGGTAGCCGGGGTGGCAGGCGCAGTGGAACGTGCCCGGGGAGCTGATACACTGGTGCTGGCAGCCATGTGCCCCCTCAGCACACAGATCCTTTCCTGAGGACACACAAGAGCAGAATCAGCAGGGGACAGATGGGCAGAACCCTCCAACAGGAGACAGTTAGAGGGGGTCAAAGGCAGGAACCATGATCAAGGATAGCCTTAGGTGGGATGTGGCTCCTTAGAGAAGGGCTGATCCAGGTGGGGCAGCTTCTGGAAAGAATAGGGCCTGAACAGCCCCTGTGAGTAGGCACCTAAGAGCGGGGCGCAGGGCTAGATGTTTTAATGAGACAGGGCAGGACCACACATGGGTAAGATAGAGAGGTGGGAAGTGCTGAATCAAGGTGGGCGGAGTAACTCGTGTCACTAGAACAGATGTTGTTGCATTGTGGGAGGGGCTAAAGTGAGAGTGGGCGTGGCCGTGCCCCTGTGGGCGGGCACTACTCTTGGAGTGGACCATTGCTCTCAGCTCCTACGGGCGGTGTTTCTCGTGTTGGAGTTGGACGTTAAGCCTGTGGTGAACCACACACAGCTCATCCTGGTAGGGAGGTAAGCCAAATGTTGCTCCTCGGGGGCGAAGCCTAAGCAAAAATGAGCAGAGCAGGCCAGGGACACGGCACACGTCAGGCCTGAGAGACTCTACTATCCGGTGGGCGGGGCTAAAGATGGATCGGGCGGGGGGGGGGGCCCGGGATGAGGAGGCATTTACTGAGCTGTGATGTTCGGGAATCTAGGCAGGCAGTTCAGCCTCGCTCCAGCGCTCCCCTAACTCACCACACAGCCGGCCCTGGAACTGCAGGCCGAACTCCTGGATAAGGTCGAAGGACTCAACCAGGAAGACGTGCTCGTCCAGCGGGTGGGACGCCATGGCGCGCAGGGAGCCCACGTCCGCGCGCTGCACCCCTACCGCATAGATCTCGATGCCGCGGGCCCGCGCCTGCGCTGCCACCTCCGCCACCCGGTCCTGGGGCCGCCCGTCGGTCACGATGACAGCCACTCGCGGCACGCGCGCCTCTAGCGGACGCGCGCCTTCGGCCACGCTGAAGGCCACATTCATGGCGTACTGGATCGCCAGCCCGGTCATGGTGCCCTGCGCCAACGGCACCAAAGCGCGGATGGCGCGCTCCATATCCTCGCGGCGCGAGAAAGCGCCGAGTCGGAAGACGCTCTGCACTTGACTCGAGTACTGGATCACGCCGACGCGGGTGGCGTTGGGCCCCAAGTCCAGGCCGCGGAGGATGCCCACCAGGAATTGTCTCATGGTCTCAAATTCGAAGGGGCGCACGCTGCGCGAGCTGTCAATCACAAACACCAAATCCAGGGGCCCAGTGCGGCACCTGGGACCTGCGAGGAGATCAAAGGACTTTCCTAGGTCAGCAAAGCCTCATCTCCGAGGAGATGCCCAGGGAAACCAAGGGCGGAATGGTACTATCCCTGCATAACGACGCCCGCACAGAATTAGCCTAGCAGATGCCAGTTAGATACATTCACTCGCCCAGCATTTGCTGAGGGTCTGGGCTAGGAGATTTCACCAGTTCTCTATCCTACAGTCCTGAGGGCTATTCTGAGCAGGTATTACCCATTCGGGAGAGGGAGAGGGAATGTCCCAAACTCAAATGCCTGCAGGGGCCAAGCAGGCAACATAAACGAGTGACCTGGCAGGGTGGGACAGTGGACACCCAGAGAGACTGTGTTTTTCCTAAAGTGGACAGCTCCAGCCAAACGTTGCCAGGCAGCCTCGTGGACCCCGTGTTGGCAGGTCCTTGGGTTTTTCAAGAGAAGTCCCAAATCAGGATCTTTCTGTGAAATCTCCTGATTTTTCAATTAACTTTAAAAAATTTAACACCAAATAGGCATTCTGCCTGAGCACAATTTTATTACCTCTAAGCCACTTCCTAAGATGAGGCGCCTGAGGGCCAGAGAGTGGAAACGGTGAATTTGAACCCATCCCAGAGGGACCCAACCTTCTGCTTTTCTCTTCCCAGCAGGCCTAGCGGTGCACAAACAGGGAACCTGCTTTTGTTCCTCTCCCCTCACTGGTGAGGGCTCACCTTCAAACCAGAGATGGGTTTCCCAGGGCTGGAGAAGGAGCAGCAACACGGGCAGCGGTGAGCATGGAAGGCCCCTCATGGCACTTGGGGACAGAGGACGCAGGTGTCAGAGCCTGGAGGGAGGAAGGGAAATAGCAGAAAAATAGTGTTTGCAGGACTCTCTTTCTGGGTGATGGCACTTGAAGATGGAGGGTCATGGGTTTATTTTACTAATCTTTCTACTTTTGTGTATGCTTTTATAATTAATTTTTTAACTCTCACCTGAGGATATTTTTTTCCATTGTTTTTAGAGAGAGAGGAAGGGGGAGAGAGACACATCTATGACGGAGAGAGAGAGAGAGAGAGAGAGAGAGAGACTGGAGCAAGGGACAATGCTCCACCCAACCAAGCCACACTGGCCAAGGCCATAATAATTAATTTTCATTACAGTGAGATTTCTGGGAAACACAAGGAATTCTGCTCTGTAAATAAATAGAAGTAGATAAAAATACATAAAATTCAAAAACAAAAAGACTTTCCTAAATGCCAGGCACCATGTTGAACGCTTCTCATGCATTGTGGCATTTAATCCTCTGACAATTCCATGAGACAGGCCGTGTTTTTTGCCGTTGTACAGATTAGGAAACAGGCTCAAAAAACTTAAACGCTGGTACTCAAAGTCTCAGGACAAGAACGTGGCCACGCCAGGATACAATCCTATTCCTAGGGGTCTCCATGAAAAGCCACCGTGTTCCACGCCCTCGTCTCCTGAGGAGGAACCTCTGCAGAAGGAAGCCACTCCCCACCTCGGGACCCCGTCCCCTACCCCCTACCCATACAAGGCTCCTCTGTGTGGCTGTCCTCTCTCGCGGGTGCACACACGCGCACATACACATACACACCCATTTGGATACGCAGCGCGCAACCGCAGGCCTCAGGGGAGGACCGCGCGCCCTCTGGCTGTGTCGGGAGGGTAGGGGGCAGGTAGGCACTGCGTTGGCCAAAACCCACCATGCACTTAAATTCGAGGCTTGTCGCCTCCACTTCCCGCCAGCTCTCAGGAGAAGCAGCCAGGGGGCGCCTTCCAAGGTCTGGCGTCGGTGGTTAGTTGGCCGTGGGAAGCCCACACCTGCCCAGCAGGTGCCCCTGCCCAGAGCAAACAGCGGGCTGGGAGCCCCGGGGCCTTGAGATAAGACCAGGTAGGATATATCCGGCCCGAGGGCCCGGGAGCAGGAGTGCGCAAGGTTCTGAGGACAACGGCACTGACGCACCCAGAGGGCGGTGAGTGAGAGGCCGGGGGGCCTCGGAAGGTGGCCATGGACCCTGTGGGCGCAGCAGGTGAGCCCTCACCTTCCCGAGGCCCTTTGAGAATCACTAAAGATTCCCATTGCACAGAAGGGAAAAGTGAGGCCCAAGAAGGCGGCTCCCGGAGCTCTGAAGGAACCTAGGACTCTTTGCTCCCCTTCTTCCTTTTGAGCTGCTGGCAACCTGACGTCCAGGAGCCATTGAACCTCTTTCCTTCCATTCACTCCCTCTGCTCTCTACCCCACCTCCGCGCCCCACGCTGAAGCGGCATGAGCCGTTTTTCAGCGGCTGTCTCTTGATGGAGGGGGCCAGCCGCCCCTCACCCAACCGCAGCCCCGCCCCTCCCCCCAATCCTGTGAATGGGCCTATTCTGAGCAAGGTCGAGCGCCTGCAGCGCACTCTAGGCGGCCTTCGCCTCCCGGATCCTCTCCGCCTTCGACTTCCAGGCCTGGTAGAAGAGCAAAAATCCCCCTGGCCAGTCCGTCATGGGAGGGCGGCTAAGCCAGAGGTGCCAGCGGCTGGAGGTGGGAGGGTGTGCCATGCTCTCTCCGGCCTGCGGCCAGCACCCCCGGGGGACATGGGGGCGAAGGCACAGGGGGCCTTGGCCACCTCTCATTTTTTCCTACTTTCAGAAGCCTCCGGGCCCCCAGATCTTGATTAAGGTCCCCCTTATCCTGCTCTTGGCTTGAGCAAACATCTCGCCTGGCGCCCTCCTGTTCCCCAGGGACCCTAGAAAGTCGAAAAGTGGCTTCCTTAAAGTTCATCACCTTCCCCAAGTCCCCTCGCTCTACAGAGGAAGGAACTAGGTCCAGAGAAGGCAGTGCCTCGCCCAAAGTCACACAGCGACCTGGAGGCAGGGCTGACGCTAGAATCCAGAGCCCCTGGGGGAGGTTAATTAGCCCTGCGTTAAAATGAAAGATTTGGAAACGCCCTTGGGTGAAGACAGTGGGCCCGCGGGGCAGTTCTGTGACTAATTTGAGCCGGCGAAAGAGTGAACACCTTGAGGACGTTCCTGGGGGTCCCCGGGAGGAGGAGATTAGGGGAAACGTCCCCTTCCTTTCTTGATGGGCTTGCTGGTGGGGACTCAATTTGGAAAGGATCCCTCAGAAGCGGGGAAGGGCACTGCAGGTCCAACGCGGGCGCCGCCGTTAAGGACGGGCGCCTGGTCTGGCGGGCCGCCTGCACCCCCACAGACCCCTCAGCGCCCCCGGGACCTTTGACTCACCTGAACCTGCTGGACAACGCGGAGGCGCGGCCTCAGCACGGAGCCGACGGGCGGAGCCTCCTGGGCAGCTGGAGCAGGTAACAGCTCGGGCAGCGTGCCCGAGGTGGGGACTGCCAGGCAGCTGGAGGGAGCGGAGGCGGCGGCCGCATTTAACCCGGGCTGGCGGATGGGGAGGGGGAGCGCGGGCTGCGACCCCTCCCACTGGCAGGGCGATCCCCCTTCCTCCGAGGGCCGGGGCGGGGCCAGATCGGCGCCCCCGGCTCCAGCCACCCTGGGAGCCTCCGGCTCGGGCTGCGGGGCCGGAATTCGGTACAGCGGGAGGCTGGGCGGCTACCCTGTCCGCAGCCGGAATGCGTTGGAGGCCTCCGAGCCACTTCCCCGAGGAGAGCCCCAAGGGGCGGAGCGGGGCCTGGCTGGGCTGCCGTCTGCCTGGCCCCGCTTGGAGGGCGCGGCCCGGCCCTTGCCCTCCGTTGTCCCCTCCAGAAGTGAAGAGAGGCCTCCGACGCTGGTCCTGCGAAGAGGGTAAAGGACTCAGAAGGGCAGCCTCAGGGTTCATGGCTCTACCCGGGTCCACCTGGTGGTCCCTCAAATGTCTGCCAAGACGGACTCCTTTGCTTGTTCTCTGCCATTGCTTAAGTCTTGGCCCACCCACCCTCACACACTGAAACTTCCAGGCTGAGAGGCCATCACGTCCCCTAGGCTCTGCCCTAGGTCCCCGGGCCAACTCCACATGGTCGACGGAGGCCCTTCGAGCAAGGGAAGTAGAGCTGAGAGAGTAATAGGCCCGCGCTCTTGGAAGGAAGGGGGAAGGGAATGTTGCTTGGACCGGAGAAAAACTGAAATCCGCTCTCCCCGGACCCTCCCACACACCCACAATTTTGAGGCTTTTCCATGTTTGCAGGCATCTGCCAGCAGGCAAGAGAGCACTGTCGTCCCTGGGTCCAGCACAGGCTCTTCCCCGCAGCGTCAGGACTTCCCTGGGGTGGGACCGCCCAGGGTGCAGGGAGAACCATGCGCCCTCTCGTACTCTGCCTCCGTCCCAAGGCCAACACAAGTGCGGCCTTTGTGCCGCTGGGGCCTCTCCCCGGTGCTCCAGGATATGGTGGGCGTGGAACCAGACCCGCAGAGTGGCGCCTGGGTGGTCCCGGTGGGCTCCGCGCAGGCCTCACTGAGCACCGCGCCGCCCAAATATTTAGCCCGCGACTTGCATGCATCCCTTCCCTGACCTAACACTTCCTCGCCCTGACCACGAGGGGGCACCACTAGAACGTCCTTTCGTTCAACCGAAGCGCTTCGAGCTCCAGGGCACCTCGCCCTTTGACCCTCCCTGCTGCGGGCCTCTCAGGTCGTCCCCAGAGCGCACCACGATCCTGCGGGAAGGCGTGCGCCGGTGCCTGCAGCAGCAGTGCGAGCAGACGGTGCGGATCCTGCACGCCAAGGTGGCGCAGAAATCTTACGGAAATGAGAAACGGTAGGTGCTTCAGCGGCCCCTGTCAGGTCACTTCGACACTGGGCTATGTGCGCTCCTCCCGGGGAGAACCTGGGGCTTAGCTCTTGTCCGATCGTGGGCCTTTCCGCTCAGTCACCAATAATCCCCACTTTGGCTTCAGCAGAACCTCCCAGAATGGGAATCTACAGTCCCCATTCATTCACACATTCATTCATACTTTCATTCAACGACTAGTCAAGTTGCTTGTCAAGTGCCAGGTTCTGCGAGCACCACTGGCCACCAGGCACGCAGCTGAAGGCAAATACAGTCCCCGCTCTCATGGCACCTTCATCCTAGGGTGGAAGAGGCAGACAGCGAAATCCGCACGGGCAATGAACAAGATCCTGATGAAGGCTAGAAGGGAACTGAACAGCGCAATGTGATAGAAATGGGAGGGAGGCCACTGCAACTAGAAAGGCCCGGTCAACATCTGAACTGAGACTTGAATGTGCAAACAGAGCCAGACAGGAGAAAATCTGAGGGAAGCATATTCCAGTTAGAAACAGAAAATGCGCAGCCCCTGAGGCCTGATCAATGTCCAAGTTAGAGCGGATGCAGTTTGAGAAGGGGGCTTGGGTTGTAGGAAATAAAGTTGGAGAGGTAAGCAGGGGCCAGATCATGTGAGGACTTTGAATTTCAATCATTGGCGGATTTTTACGAAGACAAGTCACATGACTGGCTCATGAAATAAAAAGGTGGAGGTGGTTAGGAGCTGGTGGATTCTGGGTATGTTTTAAAGGTGGAGTTGACAGGACTTACTGATGGGTTGAGTGAGGGGAGTGATAAAAGAAGGCTTGGATATTAACGGGGTTCACAGAGATGGAGAAGCCTAGTGGTGGGAAATATGGAGGGGGATTCTTTCAAATGGCTGCTGCCTTTGAGGGGCCTACAAGACAACCCAGTGGAGATGATACAGAGTCCAGCGCTTGCATGTCTCCGCAGGTTCTTCTGCCCCCCGCCCTGTGTCTACCTCGCAGGTCCCGGCTGGAGGGTGAAGCCAGTGCAGAGCCAAGGTGAGGACAGACTCCAGGACTGGCCGCCGGCCTCGGTAGGGGGACCACGCAGCCGGGAATGGGAGCGGGGCCGTTCGCAGACGCCATCTCGCCGCGCCCTCTGGCGGCGGGAACTAGGCTTGCCTTGCACCTGAGTCTTTTAGGAGTCCTCCCAGAGCCCGCTGGCGTCCCTTTCCAGCCCACCAGGCAGGGGAGACGGGGCCCACCGTCTGCGGTTACATGGGACTGGACGGCGCGTCCGGCAGTGCCGCCGAGACGCAGAAACTGAATTTCGAGGAGCAGCCCGACTCCAGGGTGAGAGCGCATGGGAGGGGGGCCCAGTCCTGCTCCCATCCTTGCACTTTCCTTGGGGAGGAAGGCTCAATTACTTCCTTGCAGAAGCCAAACTATAGGGAGGGAGGGGGAGCCCGGAGACCGAAGTTCTGCAAGGAAGGTGCGCCCGAAGCTTGGACCACGCCGCTTCATGTCACATCCGACGGGGCGGACGACAGATAACCGGGGGTGGGGGAGGTCTGTTCATCCCGAGGCGGACGGTTGGGAAGAGCCGGCTCCATCCCCGTGAACCCTGTAGGAATTCGGTTGCGCCAAGACCCTGTACATCTCAGACGCCGACAAGAGGAAGCACTTCCGGCTGGTGCTGCGGCTGGTGCTCCGAGGGGGGCGGGAACTGGGCACCTTCCACAGCCGCCTCATCAAGGTCATCTCGAAGCCCTCGCAGAAGAAGCAGTCACTGAAGAACACGGACCGTGAGCGGGGCGGGGCTCGATCGCAGGGCGGGTGGGAAGGAACCTGGCAGCCTGGAGCCCCTGGATTTGGAAGGGGGAGCAACAGGGTTGTAGGGGTGGGGTCAGAGTGGAAGGGGCGGAATCTGAGCCGGAGGGGCAGGGTCTGGCTGAGCTGGTGCTGCTTAGGCCTGGGAATGAGAGGTTAGAGAAACAAGGACAGAGAACAGAGGGGACAGTTACCAGGCTTGAGTGTATGTGTGCGGGTGGGTGTGTGGGTGTGTTGGGGGCGGGGGAGGGGGAGTTGGGGGCCCCTCACACGGCGGCAGGTGCTGAACTAGAGACAGATTAAAAGTGACAATAAAAAGAAGATAAAAGTGACAATAAAATTCAGTTACAGTATTTGCCTAGGGCCTGCTCTATGCCAGGCTCTGTGCTAGGTGCTGGGTCCCTATGAAACAAGGACAAGTGTCTGTTTTGGGAGAATGCACAGACTAGCAGGGGAGAGAGACACGCTCAGCGGATCAAAGAGACAGTTGGAGATAAGTGCTGTCCTGGGTGCCAAGTGACACATCCCAGGGCTGGAGGGCTTGGAAATATAAGCGGGGAAAGCCTGGGTACCAGTGACCCCCAGCACCACTGCCCCCGCTGGGAGGAGGGAGGGCGGGTAGGAGAAGGAAGAGGAGGCTTTCCCGGAACCCATTACATGCACCATCCTATTGGGTGCTCACCGTGTCCCTGTGAGGAAGGTACCGTCGCTCTTCCCATGTTGTAGATGTGGAAAATGAGATTCGGAACGTTCATCCGTTCATTTGAGAAACACTTGGGCCTATCATAGCCCAGGCGACTCACCTGAAATTGACCAGCTAGGAAGTGGCCCAGCCAGGATTTGGACGTGGGTCACGGGGACTCCGGAGCCCAGCTCTTACCCCTACGCCAGGCTTTCTGTCTGTCTGTTGGGAACCCTGAAGGCTGTCTCAGGTCCGGGCAGTGCTCTGGCTGACCTGTGGTACCAGGAAAGGGCCGGGGGAGAAGTGGTATAGTGTGACGCGCACAGGGCAGATTCTGGCTTTGAACCCCGGCTCTACCTTCGCTAGAGTGATCGTCAGCAAGCTGCTGTCTTAAGTGGAGACAATATTGTCTACTTCAGAGTGTCGTCTGAGAGGCTCAGATGAACTAATACCTATGAAGCACTTAAAACAGTACCTGACACCCAATAGTTAGCTATTATTCAAAGGATGGGAACTTGGGCTAAATATAAATTGAGCACCTATAGCACTGTGAGTGGAGAGAGGAAGATAACCTAGTGCTTTCTCCCCAGGTGGTCAAAATCTAGTCAGAAACAAAGCTGTGTCTCTGCCTCTGTGATAGGCTGGAAGAAATCAATGTCAAGTCCTAGAAACATTGTACTGCTGTTCCACGCTTCGCGGCCTCTGCTTATGCAGCTCCCCCAAGCCCTCCTACCTACTCCATGCTCCTCAGCTGGGAGTGTGACCTCCTCCAGGAAGCCCTCTTTAACCCAATCCTATGACATTTGACTGAAATTGTATAGCTCTGTTCCTTTCTCCTCTCTAAGACCGTGAACTCCTCCAGAGCAAGGCTGAGTCTAAGTCACCCTTTGGTGCTCAGCACCAGCACAGTGCCTGCCACAAAGCAGACACTGAGTGAATACTTGATGGTTCTGTTTATTTAACTGAAAATGCCCAGGCAGCATAAGGAGCAGGCACAAGTGCAGAAGCAGATCTGAGGCAGTGCCACGTAAATAGCTGGGCAGTATGAATGCCCACTGTGTCTAGACCAGGGGGCACATGAGTCAAAGTGGCACAGGGGACAGAGACTCAGATGTGTCTGATGTGTCCAAGGGACCAAGCCAGGTCAGGGCCCTGATTTCACCTCCCCTCACAGTGTGCATATCCTCGGGCTCCAAGGTCTCCCTCTTCAACCGCCTGCGTTCCCAGACGGTCTCCACGCGCTACCTCTCCGTGGAGGATGGGGCCTTTGTGGCCAGCGCACGCCAGTGGGCAGCCTTCACGCTCCACCTGGGTAATCGCATCAGCAGGCCAGTGCTGGGCGCTTCGCATTCACTAGCTTACTTAATCTTCACCGCAACTCCTCAACTCCGCCCTTGGAACTGAGGCTTTGAAACACAGAAAGACTTTTCAAAGTTCCCTGTGAGTCGGTGTCTGATCCGAGCTCTTCCGACTCCGCTGTCCAGCCTGGGCCCTCGTTCTAGTGCCTGCCCCAGGGAGGGAGACATTTGTGAGGATGGCCACAAATGACCCCTCCAGAATAAGAACCTTCAGCCTTAGCTGCCTTCCCACATACCAACCCCGCCCACAGAACCTGGGTGTGAATGGGGTGGAGTTCAAGGCAAGAAGGGCAGAAGCTTGGGACCCCCTGAAACCCTCCTTCCTTTCTTTTACCTTCAGCTGATGACCACCCTTCCCAGGGGGACTTCCCACCTCGAGAGGGTTACGTCCGCTATGGCTCCCTGGTGCAGCTCGTCTGCACTGTTACGGGCATCACGCTACCTCCGATGGTATGGGGAGGGAGGGCCCCCCAGATCCATGTGGAAGGTATGACCCCGTGGGCAGGGCTGGAAGGGAAGACGCAAGGCATGAAGACACTTACTCAGTCCTCTCCCAGAATACCCAGTTCTTTGTGGGGCTGGACTTCGTGGAGGCAAAGGGCTGTTGGCATGGGGGGCACTCTGCCAGTGCCCATGTGCCTATCGGGGCAGCAGGAAGCTGGCTGGGAGGGTAGCCTCCGGGCACCCAGTCCCCTTGCTGCCACCCCCACTACCACCCATCTGTTGTAGATCATCCGCAAAGTAGCCAAACAGTGTGCGCTCCTTGATGTGGACGAGCCCATTTCCCAGCTGCACAAGTGTGCGTTCCAGTTTCCTGGAGGTCCGCCTGGAGGTGGCGGCACCTACTTATGTCTTGCCACAGAGAAGGTGGTGCAATTCCAGGTGAGAAGCAGGGAGGGTCAGCACCAGGAGTCTTAGGAAGTCAGAAGGCAGGGAACCACGGAATGTAAGACCACCATCGTCCTAAGTAGCTATGCTGCCTCCCAGGGAACGTTGGAATCCCAGACTATGGGGACAGAATCAGAGAAGGTAGAAAAAGAGTAATAACACTCCTAAGTAATACTTCCAAAAAACATTAGAGTCATAGGATGTTGGGATAGAAAGTTGTGGGATGTAAATTAAAATAATAATAAGTAATAGTAGTGAGTATGATTGAGCAAAGGCTGTTAGAATCATACAATCTTAAGTCATAGAACTGTAGGATGTGGGAGATTATTATTATCATCATAATCATCAGCTAAGCTAATTGATTTGAGAGCGAGGGGAAGGGGGGAGAGTGTGAAAAAGAGAGAGAGGAAGAGAAACATCAGTGTGAGGGAGAAACAACAGGCTGCCTGCCTCTCTTACTCACGCTGACCTGGGACTGAACCTGAAACCAAGGCATGTGCCCTGACCAGGGATCGAACCTGCCACGTTTTGGTTTGCCGGAGGATGCTCCAACCAACTGAGCCACACGGGTGAGGGCAAGGGAAATTGTCATTGATAAATAAGCAATACCACTCCTCAAAGAAAATGATCCTAGCATGCTGAGGGACAAAATTGTAATATATAGAAAATAACATTACTGAGCAATTTTAGAATTGTGGAATATTAGGGCACAGAATTGCACAGTGTTAAAAATAGAATCCTAGAAGCCCAACAAAATAGACCTTCAGCAACCAGCACGTCCAGCGACCTTGTTTAACTCTGAGGGGACTGCAGGGTCTTGCCCAAGCTCACAGCGCAGGTAAACCGCAAAGCCCGGGACTGGAACCCGGAGCGCGGAAGCCCAGGCACTACTGGGGTTCCCCTTGCTGAGGGGCACCATTCAGAGCTTCTGCCCATCCCCTCGGGTCCCTCCCAGGCCTCCCCCTGCCCCAAGGAGGAGAACAGGGCGCTGCTTAACGACAGCTCTTGCTGGACCATCATCGGCACGGAGTCTGTGGAATTCTCCTTCAGCACCAGCTTGGCGTGTACCCGGGAGCCTGTCACCCCGGTGCCCCTCATCAGCACCCTCGAGGTGAACCTGGGCGCCGCGGGGTGAGGTGCTAGGGAGGGAGCGCAGCGGGCCTTGGCCGCTTCCCCCACACCAACTGGTCCGGCCCTTTCCCAGCTGAGTGGCGGGGGTGACGTGGCCACGCTGGAGCTCCACGGTGAGAACTTCCACGCGGGGCTCAAGGTGTGGTTTGGGGATGTGGAGGCCGAAACCATGTACAGGTATGGGGACAGGGAGAGGAGGGACCTTGTCATCAGCCCTAGCTGATGCCACTGCAGTCCTAACTTCCCTGCTTTACCCCCAGGAGCCCGCGGTCCCTGGTGTGCGTGGTGCCCGATGTAGCGGCCTTTGGCAGCGACTGGCGCTGGCTGCGCACACCCATCACAGTGGCGGTGAGCCTGGTGCGCGCCGACGGCCTCTTCTATCCTAGCGCCTTCTCCTTCACCTACACCCCCGAGTACAGCGCGCGGCCCGGCCCCCCGGGAGTCCCCCAGCCTGCCACCGAGGCCGACGCCGACGCGCTGCTGGAGAGCATCCACCACGAGTTCACGCGAACCAACTTCCACCTCTTCATCCAGACCTAGGAGCGCCCAGGCTGGCCTTGGGCCGGTTTCCTGGGTCCTAGGCCCTGCTCTCTGCCCCTTTGGCTGCCGGTGGAAGGGAAGGCCCCTCGGAGCAGCAGCGGAAGCCTCTCACCATTGAAACCCAGCCCTGTGGATCTTACAGGAGTCACAGCTCCTCTTTTGTCATCTAGGAAGATGCCACCTGAGTGGTGCTCTCTTTGCAGCCACTCGCGAGTGTGGCTCTCCCCGCCTTTGCCTCTGTTTCACTCTCTAAATCAAGCAATCCGTCTTTCTCCCTCAGTAGCTTTGTAGGCCTCTCTGTCTGTGTGCCCCTATCCCTCCATCTTCGCCTCTCTCCGTCTTTGTGTCTCACAGAGTTCCACACACCCAGGCCCGGCCTGCAGGCTGCGGAGCACGGGGTGGGGACCAGAGCACTAGCTCTGCCCTGAAGCACCAAGCGCCCCCTGGAGACTGGGCTCTGCCTGGAACGCAAAGAGCTGCCCTTCCTTGTGTGGCTGAAGCCAGGCCCAGTACCCTGGCCTGGGTTTGCTCTCTGGTTCACATCCTTTCTGGCTGGGCAGGTGCCTGGGACAGTGGGAAGGTCTTGCCACCTTCGCTGTCCACGCAGGCACGTCTCTCGCAGGCCCAGCAGGATGCAGCCCTGAGGACCAGGGACCCTCTGCTGTGCTAGCAGCACCCCCGTCCAAGGCAGAGTCTGATCTGTGTGAAGGCAGAGTCTGATCTGTGTGACCGACCTGTGCAAGGAGAGAGGTGCCCGGGGTACTCCCCCCCACCCTCACACACACAGGAAACACAGCGCGAGGAGCAGAGAGCTGACACTTTAGGCCCTTTTTAGAGAAGATGCTCGCATCTCTGACCCGCGTCCCTGCCGTGGGGGTCACCTGTCAGCTCTGGTGATGAGCTATCCTACTAACTGTCCCCCACCCCAAGCAAAGGTGCACCCCGGGCCCCAGAACAAACACAGGGCACAGAATAAAACTTGTCCCAGGCAGAACTCCTGGGATCAACAGGCAGTGACCCAGCCGAGACAGGGGCTTCTATACAGGGGGACCCGGGACCGAGCCATTGTCTATCCCTGCTCAGCCTGCCCATCCTGTGCCTGCTCTGTGCTCTACAGGGGAGCGGAAGAACCAGGCAGGGTCTGGCTGAGGCTGCTGGGGCCAGGAACACAGATACCATGGGTGCCAGCTCCCCGTACCAGCCCCTGCTGGGGCCAAATGGGGAGAACCGGTTTGGAATGTTGGTTCAGGGCTCACACACCCCTCCTTCCACCTTCCTTGAACTCTGAGGAGGGGCTCATTTCCTGCAGAACTCCTCCGCAGAATGTGGAAAGCCCCGTGAGAAAGAAGAGGCTGACATTTCCCAAGCGGTTTGCCGCTTAGACTGCCCTAGTCACCGTCAGCGGGCTGAACCCACTATGACCAGGGAGGAAAAGCTTGTTCGAAGCCCCTCACGGCCCCTGTGAGTGAAGCCCAGCCAAGGAATGCAGGGCACAAGTTGAATGGGAAGTGTCCCCGACATGAGAGCACACGCCGGGAGTGCTCGAGCTCCTTGCCTGTGAGAATGTTGAAGCAGGAAGCCACTCATAAGGAGGCTAAGAGGATTTTCAAAGCACAGCACACAGGAAGCTGGGGCTCAAGGGCCCATTCAGCCCAGCCCTCAAGGACTTCCCACTGCCACTCCACCAGGCCGGAGTGTCGGAAGCCAAGGACCGAGATGGGCCCGAAAGCCCAGGCCCAGCTGTGCAACTCTGTTTTTACCATGCTCCTCGGGGCACCCTGGGACCCTGGGCCCTGCCTGCAAGTCTGTGACCTCAGAGCTCCAGCCCTGGCCTCGCTTCTGAGGTCCGGCTGCTGGACTGTCCTTGGAGATCCTCCTAGCCCTGAGCCTAAGTTCATGGAACATCAAATTCCCCTTCTACCCATGCTCCTCCAGTCCCTAGTCATCTCTCTCCTCCCCCCACACCACCGAGGCTTAAGGACTGACTCTACCTCCCTCTCCACGCTAAAATAGGCTTCCTCCCCTTCCGCTACTGCCTTGTTCTCCAGACCCAGCTCAGATGTCAACCCATCCGAGATTTCCCCAAGGCAAGACCTGCTATGTAACTTGTGGGGCCACAGCAAAAAGAAAGTGTATCGCCCCTTGTGCCAAAATTATTAAGAATTTAGACAGCCACAGCAGCACAAAATCAAGGTAGGGACTCACTAAACACAAGGCCTGTTGTGATTGCACAGGCCACATGCCCATAAAGCAGGCCCTGGCTTCAGGTGTCCAACTTGTGGAAAACCTCACTGGGACCTTGTCACTGCCCACCTTGGAACAAAGGGCTTTATGTACATCTCAGGTGTCCCCTCTAGACTGTGAGATTCAAGAGGAAAGGAGCTCATCGCTACATACCCTGGAGGGAGCATTATAATGTTTGAGCATTGAGTTGGTGCCCAATAAATACCAAATTGCATTGCATTGGCAAATTATTTGGAGATTGCAAGTACAAAGTGAAACCAGAAGGTGGCACTGTTCCCTTTCTGAGAATTGAGTTTTCCTGTAAATTATTAGGATCCTTAAAAATTACCTTTATTTTTTCAAGCTCACAGGATCAGAACCTTCCAGGGTTGAGAATCATTGCTCTCATTCACATTTCCTCTTTGTTTTTTTAATACAATTTTTTAAATCTTCACCTGAGGGCCTTATTTCATGACTTTTTAATATGTATTTATTTTAGATTTTATTTTTATTTTTCAAAGATGTTATGTATTTATTTTTAGAGAGAGGGGAAGGTAGAGAAAAAGAGAGGAAGAGAAACATCAATGTGTGGTTGCCTCTCACACACCACCTACTGGGGACCTGGCCTGCAACCCAGGCGTGGAACTGGGAATCGAACCAGCGACCCCTTTGGTTTGCAGGCCAGCACTCAATCCACTGAGCCACACCAGCCAGGACTTCACTTTTTTAGAGAGAGAAGAAGGGAGAGAGGAAGGGAGAGAGAGAGAGGCATCAATGCAAGAGAGAAGCATGGACTTGTTGCCTCTCACACACACTCAGACCTGCAACTGGACCGGGAATCATTTGGGCCCAGACCAGGTATCAAACCTGTAACCTTTTGGTTATTGGATAATGCTCCAACCCACTGAGCCACACCTGCCAGGGCTCTCCTTATTTTTCCAGATGGAGAAACGGAGGCTCCTAGAGAGAAGTCCCAGGAAACTCTGGGAGCAGACTGAGGGCAGAGTCTAATTTGAATCCTCTACTCCCCACGCTAAGTCTGGGGCTCTAAGATGCTTTTAATTCTCTCCCTGATAGTATTTAATACTTTTAGTTTGCTGCTAGGAGTAGGTAGAGTGGGTGTGTTACAAGGCGCGAGGGGCAGGCGACGGGGAACATAGACTATTGTCGGAATCTCTGTTCCCAAACTGCCCAGCTGACCAGCTCTCCTGCTGCCCGAGGCTCTGCTATGAACAAGCTGGCTTTGTGGTTTAAGCACAGACCTTAGGGTCTCTCTCTCCCTATCTCTTCTGTTTAACGTAGGTTTCCTCAGAGGACAACTCAACCACAGTGTGGGCGAAATTCTCAGGTGCCTTCCTCCCCGGGAGGCATGCGGGCCACTCGGCATACATGTGAGCATGGCAAGCGAGAGAGGAAGGGGTTTTGAGGGTAATGAAACCAATAACACAATATCTAGTCAGCTTTGCAGGGGTCAGACTTGACCATGCTTACCAAAAGGCCCCCCAGTCAGGCTTGGCTCTGGCCCAGACCACAAGGGACAAAGGTGAGGCAGCGGTGGCACAATAATGCCTTCAGGGGCGAAGTGGTGAACACCTGCTGCAGCTGGCGGCTCGCCACCTGGGGCGGGGGTGGGGGAGAGGGAAGCGAGCAGTTTTGAGGAAAAGAACCCCCTTGTGACTGAGCTATTTGTGGACTTGTTTTGGTCATAAGGCATTGAAGTGGAACCCCCAAGTCCCTACCGATTCAAAACCTCCTTCCCAGCCCTTGCTAGGGTCTGAAAGCCCATAACTAGCCCCTTCCCCTGGGGAGGGGTATCCTGGGCTTGGCTGGTTTTGCCCTGATACCTCCACACACTTCTCACACTAATCACTCATGTATATTTTCAGATCGGTCATCTTAAAATGAAGGAGTTTATGTCTAGTGACTTTTCAGACACTGGCTACCTTGGAGCACAAGTGTATGTGTACCTAGGTGAGCTGGGCCAATTCCAGTTGCTTAACCTCCCTGTGCTTCGGCTTCCTTTTCTGTCAGTGGAGATGCTGGTATTTGTTTCATCAGACGTCATGAGGAATAAAGTAACTAGTAAACATGAAGCACTTTTGACAGGGCCTGGCCCACCCGAGCTACTTTATATGGGCCAGTTGCTGTTGCGGCGACTCCAGAAGCACTTTTGGAGATAATGCAAACATTGCACCATCTCTCCATTTAACAGATGAGGAAACTGATGGTCCAAAGGAGCTAAGTGACTTTCTCTATTAGCTTTCTCTGTTGTGTAACAAATGACAACAAACATAGCAGGTTAAAACAACACACGTTGACTGTCCCAGTTTCCACGGGTCAGGAGTCCCAGCACAGCTTAGCTGGACTTCCTGTTCAGGGTTTCCCAAGGGCCACAGTCACACAGTGGTTGGCAAAATTTATTTCCTCGTAGCTGTAGAACTCATGGAAGCTTCCTTTTTCTAAGTCAACGGGAGAGCATCGCTTTTATCAGGAAGGTTCCAGACCCTCTTATGAGGGCTTTCAACTGATTAAGCCTGGCCCACCCCGCATAATCTCCCCTCTTTGCCAATTCCAAAATCTAGTTTGGGGCCTTCATTACATCTGCAAAATCCCTTCACTTTTGTTATCTAATATGGCGATGCCCACCATATTTACAGGTCCTGCCCACACCCGAGGGAGGGAAGACTCAGGTTGCGGACACCTGGGGCAGAAATCTTGGGGGCTATCTCATCTTAGAATTCTGCCCAGCCCATTCCCCAAACTGTTGACAAGGGGACATGTTTGGCCTGCGGGCCATCCCATGTTCCATGAAGGAACCACCCCATCAGGAGTCAGTGCCTCTGCGTCCCAGCACACTGGCAGGGTCAGGGAGGGAGATGGCCCAACGCTGGCCACAACCCACTTTGCATTCCCTGCCCAGTTCTCAGGAATATTATTCCGAGTTCCACTCAGATAGCTCTCAACCAAGCAGTGGGCTATGGTCACCAGGCTTGAACAACAGCTTCTCATGTGTCTTGCCCCCTGGCCTTCTGTAGTCCCCTCTAGAAGCACCTTGGTGAAGAGGATCTTACCCAGCTCACAGGGTTGCTGAGGATCAAAAGGAATCTGTAGAGCCTGCCAATCACAGCACCCGCTGAAACCAGGCAGGTGACGTGAGTGACGCAGGGTGTGGGGGTGAGGGACAGACTGTAGCAAGGCAGGGAGCCCTTGTCTAGACAGGCTCCTGCCTGTCAGCAGCTCCTAATTGTTGCCACGCTGCCCGAGAGTTGTCACATCTATTTTTCCCCAAGAGAAGTGAGGAGTGTGGGTTTTTATGGGAAATGACCTCATTTCTAGTTGGCAACAAACCCAAGGACTTTTGTGTTTGTTTTTTAAACGTGGTGCCGCCTAAACAAAACACAGAGGTAGGCGGGCGGTAGGCGGGCATGCATCTCTGCCTCCCCGACGACGGGGATGGGGCAGGGCAGTTATCTCAGGCTCCCCTGGGGCCAAGAGACACAGAACCCAGAAAGCATGACTTCTTCTGAACCTTAAAATAACAGAGGCAGGCAATCTAGAAAGTACCAGATTTTATTATCTTTTTATCAAAAAATCAGTAACAGACAACAGCGTGAGGGGCTACAAGAGGGGCTGACTTCTGACACAGCCAGAGGAAAGGATGCGGGGGTGGGGGGGTGAGGGGGAAGAGGACCCAGCCAGCTGGGGACCCTGGGTCGTTGGGGGGTGAATGGGGCAGGCAGCTGGGCTGCTGCCCCCACCCCAGCCAGTGGGGTCAGAAGACGCAGCCTACCCAGCCTCATCCACCAAGCCTCTCCTCTCTGGAGGGGAAGGCCCCAGATAACAGGCTCCAGAGCGAGGGCCTAATCAGCTCTCCCCAACCCCTCCTTCGCCCAGGGAGACAAAGGTTATCCCAGCAAAGCTGGGGCTGTGACTTGCTGAACCAGTTCGGTTCGCTGGCAGTGCTCGCCAATAGATGGAAATGGTCTCCACCTGCCTGCTCCCTGCAGCAGCCACTAGCCACATGTGGCAGCTGAGCGCTTGACATGTGGTTAATGCAACTGAGGAATGGATTTTTAACTTTGTGTAATGTTAAATTGACTTAAATAGCCACATGTGGCTGGTGGTTACTGTTTTGGCTAGCACAGCTCTCCAATTGTCTCTTAAATTTGAAGAAATGAAAGAATACCAGCTGGGCTCAAAGCAGAAGCTAGAAAGCAGGTAGAAATACCTACCCTCAACTCTCAACTGCTCCAGCCCAGTGGGAAGGCACCAGGAACGGGGCAAGAAAAAGAGGCAGAAGCCCTCACAGCCACATCGAATTCCACTCACTCAACCGCCCAGCAACTTTAAATGGGAAATATACTATCTCCTGAAAAAATATATTTATCTATTTTTCTAGAACCAAGAAAGAATAATAATATATTACAAGGAAAGAGACACAAATATCCTATCATCCCTTACATTATATTTTGGGATCTGCTAGAAAACTATGTCTCAGCGAAAGCTACTTCTTAGAGGAGCAGCTTCAGAAAGGGCCAAAGTCGTGAACAGGGGACCGCAAAGTATGTTTTATAAAACAGGGAGGTGGGTTTAAAGGCAAGGAAGAAAAAGAGGCTCTGTCTGAAGCTATAAATAGTAAAAAAAAAATTAATAAAAATCATATCTCCGGCTCTTCTCTCATTTTCGAGAAACAAAAACAAACAAAACCAAAAAAACCCCATTAAATACAAACTTAGCAGGTATGATGGAAAGATGCAAGAGCGCCAAGAACACCTCGGCACCTGTGCGCTCTTGCCCAGGCAGAGAGGAATGAACTGTAAAAAAACAAACAAAACAAAACACCCACTAAAAATAGATTTACAAATATTCTAAAATCCATTTCAGTATGAACTTTCAGCTCTTCTCCCCACCCTCCCTCTGTCCCCTCCCTCCCCAAATAAAAAAAAGGTTTGCCAAAAGTCACTTGAAAAGAGCCCAATGGCCCAAGGTATACCACAGAGACTCCTGTAGTGTGGACACAGTGCCCTATGACAGACACATCTCAAGGTGCAGGTGGTTCTGGTTCCTTCTCCCATTTCCTGGCAGAAGGACCGGCTGCGAAAGGGCGTGGGGAGGGAGGGAGGGAGGCCCCGGGGCCAGGCCTCCAGCAGGACTCCGACGGCTCCAGAGGGGCTCTGCGGAGGCGTGGTCAGTACAGGCTCTACGCTGGGCTTAGGTTCTAAACTGGAAGATGAAGAAATAATCCAATCCTTGACTTGTCTTCTGAAAGGCCAAGTTTAGCCTCATTTTTCTGCTGGGATCGTTGAGGCCCAGAGAATCAAGAAGAGGCAGGCAGGAACAGAGGCATGAGGTCCCTCCTGTCCCTTAACACATAATCAGGGCTGAAGATGCTGACAGGTCAGTATTAGATTGCCCTCCCCCCTAATGCTAAGGTCCAACCTCCAAAATCCTTCAGCTTTCCACCCCCCTCAAGTCCAAGCCGGTGCCCATGAGGAAGCTTCAGGCATAGAACTCATTGGTGGGGGCTTTTTTGTAGATGGGTTTCTTGCCCAGGTCGTAGCTGCCTTCGTCCTTTTTCTTCATGCGGTACATCAGCAGCAGGACCAGGAAAATGGCAAAGAGGATGCCCACACCGCCGCCCACAATCAGAGCTGCAGGGAAGAGGGGACAGCAAGGTGAGAGCGGGAACTCAGGGCGTCGGGCACCATCCCAAGTCCCGTCCCCGCCCCCCCGCCTGCCGTCATCTCTCTTACAACGAGACATCCTCGCCATCGGCACCACCTGGGCCCGGCACGGTGCTGCCCAGCGCAATTCTCGTGGCCTCACTTATGGGAAGGGGAGTCACGAGGGTCCCTGAGGACCACAGGGCCACCGTGGCAAAGCCACCGTTCCAACCCACATATGCCCGAGTCTGATATCTGGCTCTTTCCAAACACCAGGCCGTCTCCCCAGAGGCAGCTTAGCCCTCACTGAGCCGGAAGCCAGAAAAACTGCAGGCTGTGGAAATGGTCACCGACACACACTCATCACGCGTCCCCCTGGCGTGCCCTGTGTGCACCTGCATGCGCACCGGCACACACTGCCCCAGGCAGGCGGACACACAGGGGCACACCCAGCCACACGCTCCCATACATAGGCGTAACACGCTATCATGGCCGTCCTACTATGTTCTAGGTAGTGCAGATGGGGAATTATGATCAGTGGTTAAGGCCTAGCACCCACTCCCATCCCTCCACTTACTGGCTGTGTGGTCTTCAGCCCCCTCATCTCACTCACTGCAAAATGGAAATAATAGTACATTTCTCTCAAGTGTGTCCTAAGGATTAGATACATTAATCCACTTAGGGTGCTTAGAAGTGCATAGCAGATGCTCAACACGCGTGCACTGTGTTTGCGGTTTTCATGTCCCTCACCCCCCGAATCAGGCCTGGCTCAGCAGTAAATGACGCTCACAGCTGGGCTCTGAGAGCGCAGCCCACGGGCAGCTGGCCAGTGTCAGGCGGGTATGGGTTTCTAACCTCGGGGGGATGTTCGGGGAGGCCAGGATGGCTCCCTTCCGTTTGGGGCGGGGACAGGGATGTCTCCCAGCGTCCCTTCTGTGGTAGATTGAGTCCCCTAATTCAGTCTTACTCAGGCTAAGAAGATTAACTTTCTGTCCCTGTTGCTCGCACTCAGTCGAAGCTGAGCCGAACAGGGTCCCAGGAGCCAAGCATGGCTCCTTCTTGGTTAAAGCTCTATGAAAATGCAGCAGCAAGGTGCCCCCAGGAGATGTCAGGAAAAGGACAGGGACTCTCAGGAACCAGCCCCGTCCTGGTGGTCCTCACCCTTCCCTCTGCCGGCTCCAGTCCCTCTAGCAGGTCTGTGCTGGGACTCCTCACAAGGTCAAGGTTCAAAAGCAGTCTCAGAAGTGACTGTGGCCCTAGGTTCAAATGTCAGGTCTACCGCTCCCTGATTTTATGACGTTGGGCAAGCGATTTGGCTTCTCTGAGCCTCGGTTTCCTTCTCCGTAACAATATCGATAACCAAACCCATCTGATAGGGTTGTTGCATGAGGGAGGCACATGACTCACGCGGCACAAGGCAAGCACTTGATAAGCTCCCAGGTGCTGTGTAAAGGATGGGACTGGAGGGTCGCGCCCCGGCTGGCGGAACGGCATAACTTGACCTGACGATCATGTACTCGTCTAATTCTCTACTGGGAGATGTAAGAGAGGACATGGCTTCAGTTCTGTCTCTTACTGTGTGACCCAAGGCAAGTGGTTTGCCTTCTCTGGGCATCAGCTTCTTCATGCATAAGAAACAGTTGCTTGGAATAGATCAGCGGTTTTGAAAACCACTTTTACAGTTTTAAAGAAAAAAAAAAACCCATTCTGCTTCACAGGGAATAGAACCCTTAGTCGGTAAAAACCAAGCCTTATGTAAATCCCACACACAACTATGCCCCCTGAAAGTGAAACTCTGCGGTTGAAGATGGAGGAAGCTTGAGAATACTTCAACCGAATAGTCTGACACTAAAGAGCCTAGATAATCTCTGTGGGCCCTTCTAGTTCAACAGCAGTCCCTGACAACGCCCCTCCCCCAGCTCTGGAGACCCCCCAAGGCTGCCAGGGAAGGAGAGAGGGAGCCAGTCACCATCCCGACGGGCGGCCCCACAGTTGGGCTTGGCAGAGCCCACTCCCTCTGCCCTCCCCCGCCCTGACACACAGCTGTCCCCATAACAGCGCCTGGTGCTCCCGAAGCCTACGGTGCTACCTGAGGCCAGCCTCCCAACTGCTCTCGGCCTCAGCTTCCAGTCTGTCACATGAAGCTCGCCCGTGCGCCACCTACTGCGAAGGCTCAAGGAAGATTCAATGGCAGCTTTGAGAAAAACAATATAAATGGAGCTACTTCAAAATGGAGTTGGAGCTGCCTCTCTAGAGGAACGGCCTTGCCGGTCTTACTCCTCAAACCCTCGGAATGTGAACTCTGGGCAAGATGACCTCTGGAAGACCCGGGCCTAAAGCAGCATTGTATTCCAAACAACTGTTTGCAAAGATATCGGGAAAGCAGATATCATGACTGAGAAATGAATCCTTTGGAATTAGCATCACTAGGTTAGCATATCTGCTTCTTTAGCTTATATACCACCCATAAGAATTCCTTCCTTCTATTCGTGTAATTGTTCCTCTTCCCTTTCTCATAAATACCCCTTGCCTTCACCTCTTAATTGGAACACTATTTGGGTTTCTGCCCAAATCAGTGATTCCCGAATAGCTATTCTTTTGGACCTCAAACAAACCTTTGTTGCCTCTCACCTTGACCTTATAGTTTAGGTTAACCTATCATACTAACTAATCCGAACTGACAGCCCTTTACAGTTTGCCTCGTTATTTCAGATTCTATTTTTCATAGAGTCATTATACCACCCGAGGAGGTATCCCTGTCTGCATCTGCAGAGGAGGAAACCGAGGCTCATCTCCACTGGGGTTCCGGAGCTTCTCAGCCAAGGTCAGAAGGCTGTCCAATGATAGGGCTGGGGGAGGGGAAACCAGTCTAATTCGAGGGAGCTCTGGGCTTTCAAGGGAGGTTTTCAAAGAATGTTAACTTTTAATAATTAACTCCCCAGGTATCAAACCTAGGAGGTGAAAATGCTTTGAAAATAAGAAAGAACCCAAGGCAAGGGAATGACTCAGCTTATCTGTTCTTTAGAAGACTTCAAAGTGCAATTCCTCTCCCCCTCCACCAGGTTGCAGTCAGAGCCCCCCACCTTCTGCCACACACACATGCACACACACACACACATCCTTTAGGAGATGTAATGTGGGACACCTTCAAGGTGGGACACGCTCACTGTGGCTATAAGGAAGGGCCACCATGCACGGAGCCCATGGCCTGCAGCACTACCTCCCACAGAGCACCCCCCTCTTCGAGTTATGCTGTGAGGAGCAGGGACCTTACCTGCCAGGACCTCTGTCCTCTCAAAGATGTTGCTGCTCTGGGCAGTGCTGGACATGGACACCCTGTTGGACACCTCCTCGTCCCCTTCAATAGGTGGCGAGAGCCTCTTGGGGATGACCTCATTCTCCTCCAGTTCCTTGGGCTCTGTGGGGACCTGGCTCCCAGGCCCCACCCTCTCAGGAATGCGGTTATCTAAGGGCACCTGGATGGGGGAAGGAGAAAAGAAAGGCTCAGCACGGTTTGGGGAGGGGCCTGGGCCGTTCAGCCCAGTGGGGAAACTGGTTCGGCCGTCTCACCGAGCCACGTGGCCCTGGTGCAGAAATCAGCCACAACCTCAATAATTAGGTCATCAAACCCTTCCCCTCAACCGGTCTAGTAGATCTGTCTCAAAATGGGAATGAATAATGTCACCAAGGGCACAGGGGAGCAGGCGTCCCCTTGTTGCTGCTCAGTGGGTGTTCTGAGTAAACCATTCTGGAGGGAAGGTTTGGCAAAACTGCAAAATTGCCTTTAAGGCAGTGATTTTGCCTCTGGGACTCTGTCTTAAGATGCTAATCAGAGATATGGATAGAAGATGCTTGCTGTAGTGCTATAATTTTAGAATATCAAAAAATCGCAAACAACTTTTCCATCCATCAGGGGAATCGGGTGAACTAGAATTATGCAGCCTCTAAAAAAAGAAGAACATTTAATTGTGTTGGGAAACGCTCGTGATCACTTTAAGTGAAAAATGCAGTACATAGAACTGTGTATATCATTTGATATTCATGTTGGGAAATACCTATAAGAGTACAGAATGGAGGCTGGAAACACATCCAAAGGCTGACAGTGATCATTCTTGCAGGGAGGATGGGCAGGGCCCCCAGCGGGCCCCCCCAAACAAACCCGTGTCACAAACCAAAGTCTTCTTGCAGAGTGAGGTCAGACCCTCACTTATTCCGCCCCTCAACAGATGTTACGGAGGGGCAGGGGGAGGGGCAAGGCATGCAGGTACTTACCAAGGGATGGATGACTTCGGGGAAGACCCTGGTGTCCTCTGAGTCATCTGTAAGGTCAGAAGGGCAGTGTTGAGTGCGAGGTCAGTAACCCCCAGAAAAATGACCCCTTTTCAGCCATGGCTGCTGGGAGTCCAGACTTCTAAGCAGCTCCAAAATGCTCAAGGTCCAGCAAGTGACCATTCCTACCCCAGCCGCAGTCACTTCATCTATAAAATGGGGCTCCTAACGCCTGCCTCCCTGGCTCTTTCCCACAAATGTGGAGCTGGTCTTTGGGCAGATGCTTTGTCTGCTCCAAACACTTGCTCAGTAAAGGGCAGATCCAGGGACCAACAGGGCCTCCAGATGCCGGATGGAAATATACAGAATTTCAGAGCCCACTGAACCAGGGTCTGCCTTTTAACAAGGTCCCTAGGGGACTCCTTTGAGAAGGCAAGACTCTAGATCGCAATATTAAATATTAGAAATTGCAGTATTAAAACATTTACTGAGCACATGGTACGTGCAGAGCTTCAACTGAGTCCAATGCCCGAAACACTGACATAATGTCATTTCTATTCCCATTTTACAGACCCGGAAACCGAGGCTCAGAAGCCAGAGCCTGGCGGTTTGAATTCAGGATTACGTGACTCCAAAACTCAAACTCTGAATTATTACACAGCCCTGCACACAGGACGGATGTTTCCTTGTAGCATCTGGTTCAGCATCCAGGGCTGGGAAGTTACAGAAGACCGTGCACGGCACCAGCCCCTGGTCCAGCCCCAAGAATCCTGGGCACCTCCACCCGTCCGCCCCTTCTGAAGCAGGGGCTTGTTCTTGGCTTCCCACCCACACTTCTGCCCTTGTATGCCCCCAGCTTTCATTCAAAGGAATGAAAACAATCAGTTTTTCCCACCCCAGCCACTCTCATTAGGCCCTAGGCGGACGGGTCCAGGCCAATGCTCAGAAAACCTGGAGCTACAAACTGGCTCAGGGAAGGTCTCAGGGATAGAGTGGCTGACCCTGTTCATTTGTTTCCTCTTTTTGGGGGGGGAGGAGCACACTAGGAAAATTCTCACAAAAGTCCAAGTCTCAAGATGTGGTCAGCCTCCCAGGAAGGGAGAACACATCCCCTCTAGCCCCAGCCCGTGCCCCGGGCCCGCCCCCGGCGCCCTCCGTACCCAGATCTCCAGAGCCAGACAGCTCAAAGTCATCGGACTCCTGCCCGGGCCCTGTCATATCCTCGTCATCCGGTAGGGGTCCTGAACCATAGCGGCCATCTAGGAGGTCTTGTGGGTCGATGACCTCGGTCTCTCGGATCTAGAGTGGAAAAAGGAGACAGGTCAGCCAATAGCCTCCATAATGGTCTACAACAGCCCCTGAGCCCTGAAAGGCAGCGAAATGGGCATTCGAGACGGCAGACTGAGGTGCTGAAGGGGACCAGGCCAGAGCCTGGAGTCCTGGGGCCCGGGCCCCTCCTGGCCCCAAACCTGCTGTGTGACCTTCCGTAAGTTCGGTTCCCATTCTGGGCTAACAAAAATGATAAAGGTGGTAATAATCCAAATGTAAATAAATATACTTAGCCATTTACTAAGCAATTGCTATGTGTCAGGGCCTGTTCTTAATTCTAAAGGCATGACTTTCACTCCGTCGTATAAGCGAGGAAAGTGGATATTAAAGACTTGAAATCATTTTATTTCGGGGGCACAGGAGCAGGTGGAAGAGTAAGGATTCCACATCAGGCAACCTGACTCCAGAGCCAGTGTCCCCGCCACCTGTGACAGGCTGGCAGGAGGACACGCCGCGCCAGCGTCCGGGGAGCCAGGGCTTGGTGATGCTGCTGCTGCCGCCTCGCTGACGGCAGAGGGCTGCTGGCTCTGGGATGCCTTCCCGAGCTGAGTCAGACCTGCCTGGGAAAGGCAGGGCTGGCTCACCCACACCCCAGGACAGCCTCAGGTCAAGGCGTTGCCCAGTCCCAGTGACTCAAGAGTGCCTAAGTGTCCTCTTACGTTCAGCCTCCCAAACGGCTCCCACAGACCCGCTGTGCCACCAACACCGTGGAGAGGCACAGTTCCTGCCCTCACGGGCCATCTCCTCCAGCACCCATAACTGTCTTTCAGCCCCTGCTCCCGGGGGACCCACCCGGTCACAGCAGAATCTTAGGTCCACCTCCACTGAGAAGCTCTTCAAAGGAAAGTAACAATGGTCTGAGGAGGTAAAAAACCTTTTTAAGGGCCTGAGGCACATCAGCCACTCTGCTCCCAATGCCCAGCGCTCAGGCGGGCGGGAAGCACTCGGAAGGTCCGTCACCCTCCTTCTCAGCTCCTGGGCTGAGGTTCTGTCTCCCCACAGAACAGCTGCCCTGGGCCAAGTTCATTTCACTAATCACTCAAATATTTAAGTGTCTCCTATTTGCCAGAAGGGTTAGGGTTTTGAGAAGGAGAATTGGTTCCTAAGACAAGGTTACCATGGCAGGAGGGGCCCAGGCTCCTGCAAAGGTTTCCCAGCAGAGGCGCTGGAACCTGCTGTGACGCCCGCTTCCACTCCCACGAGGACCTGCACCGGGTCCCCGGAAGGGAGCAGGGTAGGGCTGGGAGGGCGGCCGTGGGCAGGCAGCCCACCTCCCGCAGGAGGGGAGGATCTTTGCTCACCACTTGGTGCCCACGGGGGCGAGGAGTCAGAAGGGGTTAAGGCCTGGCCAGGGATGACTTCATAACTTGGGAATCAGGAGCTGCTGAGCTGCTGGTGTTGGAATCCCAGCCCCCGCATGCAGCCCTGGGACTGTGGCTTTGGTCTGGCAGCTCAGGAGTAAGGTTCCTCTGGTTGCGCAAGCTGCCAGCACCTCGGGTGGGGTCCCTGTGCTCTTACCCACTTCTCCTGTTGCAAATTCTCCTGGGGCCCAGAACCTGATAGCAGGCCCTCCGTGGCTTACCCAGGTAAGTGTTCAGCATGAAACAGTTCTACTAACAGGTCTTTTTTTGCAGAAGTGGAAGGGGGAAAGGACAGTAGCTCAGAAAGGTGAAGCCACTTGCCCAAGTTCACGCAGGCAGAAAATGGCCAGGCTGGGCCAGACCAAAGCATGGGTCGCTTGAGCCTTTATCTACATACACATAAACCCACATGAATAAACACACGTGTACATACAGTGCCCGCCTACCCAGGTAGGAAGGGAGCCCTATTCAGTGGAAGTCAAACCAGCCCAAGAGGGAAAGATGGTAGATATTATGGCCACTTGCTGACCTGGCCTGGGGACCAGACTGGCTGCGGCACTCAGAGCTCCGAGTCCTCCCGGCAGGGGCTGTCTCAGTCTGAGACCCTCCCTACTTCTCCTCGTCCCCAGGAGCCATGCAAGGTTGCTTCTTCATCACCTGCCTTTCAGTGGGTGAGAGTGTTTCAAAACAACCCACACAGACTGGCTGATGAATAATAACTCGCTTCCATCTTACATTGGTGAAATGAAGACCAAGAGGAGGCGACTATGGCAATCTCAAAGCCCAACGTGCAAACTGAGGCTGAACCAGCTTTGTTCCCAGGTCAGCCCTCTCAGTGGTCACCTGGTCATCCCTAAGCCTTCATATTTATGCCAGGCCTCTGGAGAAGATAAAGGATTGTCACATCAGATACCTGTCCGAGCTCTAAATGGACAGGGTCCCTAAAGGCTGCCGTAGATGAGCCCAGGTGCCCTCCTACAGCAAGTCTAGGTGGCCTGGGAGAACTGTGACGTGTGCTGGTAAGAGGACACAGGAAATTAAATTCTTCTTCCACCCCAGAAACACCCTCTCTGGCCTGTTCTCTACCCATGACCCTCAACACCAGGAAAATTCCCAAGTGGACAGGAGCCCTTTTAAGACTAGGCCTGCAAGACAGGACCGCACTGCAGGAGCTTGTGGGTAATCATCCCTTTGTGTGTTTGGTGGGGGGCGGGGGGGGGCGCGGGGTAGAGGGCAACAGCCCTCCCTTCCCCCGCCCTTTTCAGCAAGGCCCATTCAGTCTGGGGTGGCTTTGAAGGGCCAGGCCACCTTGCAGCTAGGTCCAGCCCTGACCAGAGGAGGACCCCACCCTGCTCCTGGCTAAGGATGTGGTCTGTCCTCCTCACCTCGCTCCATCCCTGCCCAGGGAACGTGTAGTCACACACGTGCACACGCACAGGGATCCTCTCTGGGCCCTAAGGCCTCCCTGAGACTCTGTTCTTCTCACAGACACAGAACAGGAATGACCAGGTGCGGTGCCAGTGGGCCTGGGCCTCGCAGACCCTGCTGGCCCGTGGCTGGTGGGCACCTGGGGCGGGCGCCTAGAGGGTTAAAGATGCTGGGTACTTCCCCACACTCTCCATAAAAAGAAGAGGTGTAGGTGCTGCTTTGTTCTACAGGGACGAACACCTGCCAACAGAAGGTATCTGAGGCCACAGAGCCCAAGCGTCTCATTTTATTACCCAGCAAACAGATTAAAAGACAAGGGGCTTTGCCAAGGTCATCCAAGCAGCTGGCAGCGGCGCTGGACTTGAAACCTAGATCTCCTGGCTCTGGCACAGAAGTTGTCCTCCCTCCCTCCTTCAAGGCTTCTGGCTGCCCCTGAGGGTCTCAGCAGGCCCACAGGCAGCAGCTGTCACCCCAGATATACATCCAGTCCTCAGGCTTCAGGCATAAATCTAGCAAAAGGTTACCAACCATATCCCAGAGTCCTACAGCTTTTGCCACCCAGAACACGCATGGGGACTGGGGTGGCCAGCACAAGGACCCGTGTATGCCACGGACCCAGCTGGATTCTTCGCTGTGTGAGAGATCATTTTACGGGCACCAACTTGCAGGGCGCTCTACCTGCTCTGCGGGAAACCGAGGTTCAGGGGAGTTATTCCTCCAAAGGCACAGAGCTAGAAATGGACAGAGCTGGGATTCAATCCTAAATCTTTCTCAAGGCTGTGTCTTAGCCACAGCCAGACTTCTCACTGCCCTGCCGCCCAGGCTTCACCTCCTCGCCCCAACTCCACACCCATGGCCTGCACGGCCAGGCCAGGGCTCCGGGGCGCCCCGGCCCCGGCCCCGGCCCCAGCCCCGGTGTGCACAAAGGTGGAAGTGGCAGCGCTGCCACCGAAGAACAGAGGCTTGGCTGGACCACCAGAGAGAAGTTCAGGGTCAGGGCTTGGTTACCTATGAACTGGTTTGAAGAAGAAGGAGGAGAGCTTCCCCTCACCTGGCTCTTCCCCCAGGGGAGGTAGGGTCGGGGTCAGGGACACACTTGACCCTTGGTTCAGGAGGTGAGATCAGAGGGCCCTGGGCTCCATGACAGAAGCCCCCGGAGCGATCCTGGCAGGAGGTCTCCAGGAGGGGCCATTGTCACCGTCACTGTTTCCCCCCACCCCGCTTCTGAAGGGTCAGACGTCCCCCAGAATGAGCAAAACCTGGCTCCCACGATCAGGACTCTATTCCCTGGTGGAAAAGAAGGCTCCACCTGAGTGGTGACCTGAGAAGGCAGATCCACAAGCGAAACTCTATGAGTCTGGGGGCTTATTTCACGTCTTGAATCCTCGGTGTGCCTGCCCTCTTTGAAAGCAAGGCTAGTAGTGCTTTGCGGGATGATGAGGATTAAGTGAAATGTGTTAGTGTGCGCAAGGGGCCCGGCACGTGGCCTGGTACATGCTGGTGCTCAAGGAATATTGGCTATTATTAATCCCCACCTGTTTTCCTTCTGGGCAAGAGGGTTACTGGTCCAAGGGCCAGAGAGACCTGAGAAAAGCTGAAGTAATTCCATTGCTAGAAAGAAGGTGGTCGAAGATGCTTTGCAAACTGCAAAGGGACAGAGCCTATGATGAGTCAGAGACTTTTCCACAGCCAATCACGTCCCCTTCAGACTGTGCAAGGGCAAAAGACCCTAAGGTGGGCAGAGGCCTGTCCAAGGTCACGTAACTTGGAGCACTTGTCCTGAACAGACAGAGGCAAAGGAAAGACCGGTTGTATTTTTCCCAGAGGATCAAACGGCAATGACCACGGATGCCTGAAATTCTATGCCAGAGTATTTCCTGACCTGCCTTGGGGGTGAAAAAACATCTAGAAGGCAAAAACAACAGCGCACCACTCCGCAGCCCAGCGCTCTGGCACCTGAAGGGTTAAGCCAGCTCTGGGGGTGGGGTGGGGGTTCGAATGTCGGCTCAGCCCAGGCTCTGCCCACTCTGAGGTCGGGTTACTCTGAACACAATCACTCAGGAGAGTAGCCAGGCCTGGCACTGCCAGCAGGGAGCTTTTCACCAACCCCCCAGGGCAGCCCATTCCCACAGCAAGGGCTCCAGGATCCTGGGGTGCCTGCTAGGAATGGGGGGTAGGGGG